TGGTCTTAAGACCGGTCTTAAGACCAAGACCAACTTCGAGTACCACAACACTGCTATTACAAAAGCTAAGGCTAGTTAGCATAGCCACCGATGACAGCGGATAAATGGTTTTCCTGGGGCCGAAAGTTGTTTCTCCACCATTAGCACATTTAGCAGCACATAGCCGAGGTTGATTGATGACCACTTGTACTGAACCAGGTTCTGGTCTTACTGGAGGGCTCTTCCTGTTAAATAAGAGTTGTTCCTCTCCACTGTCACTACGTGCATGCTTGGTATGGGGGATTGTTGTAAAGTCAATGACAATGCAAAAGAATGTCGCTACATGTTCAACTAGGATAAGTGAATGCTGCAATCTGCTGGGTTTTCTAAAACAGAAACGTTTTAAGCTTCTGATAACTAGGATCAATTAGAATGTATGAGTCAACTGAAATTATTAATCTTTTTTGTAAAGTGCCTTGAGACAGCATTTGTTGTGAATTGGTGTTCTAAATAAACTGCACTGAAAACTGAAACAAATCTTAAGAATTTGCTTCAAAACAAACATTTAAAATTCCCAAACTGTTCAATAAGGTCAATGATTATTACAAGGAAATCTTTTGACTGGAAAAACTCTACTATGTAAATCATATGCTGCAAAACAAATGTCGTTTTAGTCTTGAGTCCAGCGAGGCCAGACACTATTCTTTCGTAAATATTCAGAAATGTAAACTACAGTGATGAAATTATTTGTTTGATGAGCCATGAAGGAGAGGAAGAATTCTACATGCAGTTGTTAATGGCACAAAGGAAAGAAAAGGAGCAGCATGAGTCTGTAGGAATGGAAGTAGTAGTATTCTATGTGTGAGTGTGAAATTTAGGATAGTAATGTCTTAAAAAAAAAAAAAAAAACGGGCTCCTGAAACTCTATGGAGCAACATGTCTTCAAGTAACAGATACAACTGAGATTAGCTGCCATCTGACCTCACTGTGAGAATGTTTTCTTTGACTGCAGGTGTGTGGAAGAGATCTTCTGCAACTCTATTTAGGCCGTTTAATATTTGAAATGCAATAACTCAAAATGCACTTCTTTATAAATGCCTCCAGGAGCCCTCAATAATGAGGAAAGCAGCACTAAGCTCATTTCTTTAAAAAAATCTGATCTACTTTCTAATCTGGTTGTCTCTGATCAGGGACTGCTGCTCCAGGGTCCCACAATGACCTGGTAACCCTGAAAAAGTAATCCTCAGCACAGAGAGCTGCCTCGCTGCCCCTGCTGGCCTGGATGAATTGCAGATCAGTATGTAGCAGCTAACCAGCAGTAACGGTGAGACCGCTATGCTTTTATGTTACCAGATATAATTAGATACAATAATGTAGTCCATGTCAGAGCTGAGATGAACATGAACTGCTAATACAGCAAGTTTGAAGAAGTAGCATGTAGAAATCTAAACCCATCCCAACAATGAGGAGGTCTAGCAGAAGCCAAGTACAGTGGCATACTGTACAGGTTAGTGTTGGTCAGAGGTGGTCTGGCAATGCCCACTGGGCCAACCAATCGTAATTTAATCAAAAATCACTTGTATTGACTGCAGTGGTCCATTGGTTGATTTTCTTTATGGACATCAGGCTAACACAATGAAATCTCTCAGCCCTCATCAGGTCACCCCCTCCTGTGCTTTGACCATAGTTCTACGTTGACAGATTTTGTCGTTTGGGCTGACTGGATTTGGAGAGAAGTGTGTGGCAATGGACAAACTGCTGAAGACGAAAGGCTAAGAAGCATGCAACTGATGAAGCAAAATGAGCCAAAATAGTCAATATGCTTATTCCTGACAAGTTTGAGTGCATGGCAGATTCAGGGCCAGAGAAGGAAGGAGAATTAGGGGGATTCTTCAGAGGAGTTTACAGCTTATAGTTATTAATATCATGCAGTGAAATATTACTTTACTGAAATGGATGATTTATCAGTGGTAAGCAGAGAAATAACAGTTGAGGCCTGGTGCCAACACAATGCCAAAGTGGAAATACATCAGCAATGACCTTTTGGATGCAACTGATTGAAAACATGACATATCGTTCCATGACCTCCTAGAAGAGGTTTAAAGAGCAGAGGCATTTACCTTCATGGATGTGTCCAAACACATGTAATTTGGGCTGGACTCTCCTCTGGACTGTGTTGAGCAGTTCCATGCATCCAACACGCTGCATCTTTTTAGGAACCCAGTCCAGGAAGCCTGAAGAAATCAAACGTGTGAATCAGCAGAATCACTAGGCTGCAGTAGTTCATCAACTGAATTATAGAATGTTTGGGTTACAGCAGAAATAATACAAAACAAACAAAAAAAATCACTGATGTACTAAAGTAACAGATGAATAAAATGTGGAAATCTTTATAACATATCCACAGAAGTCAACTCAATGAAAAGAAATGCTTCCTATGACAAATGGCATGTCACAACTAGCATGAGGAAATTTACATCTGGTCTTGGCAGAACAAATTTTTCAATGGTGTCAAAATCAAAGTGGGCTCTTCATCCCACAATGGGGAAATTTGAGTGAAGTTCTGAACATGTCTGAAACTTCTGTTGGATCATTGAATTGTGTCTGTTTGGGGGGAACAGTGTGACATGAGGACCCGGGCCTTTAGCGCTGCTGGGCTATAAGAATTTGGCCACACAGGCCTCATGCTCAGGATTCAAGCTCATCACACCCACATAACCCTGGCAGCAGTTCAGGCTGCTTGTTGGAGTGCTTCTGTTGGCATGCCTATTATACTCGTCATGCTGCTACTGCAACAACCAATTAATATTGCCTGGTATAGGTCCACAATGCATATTCACTGCACACTGAGACAGGGCTTGGCTGTGCTGGTTGCTGGGAGACTGACTTTTATAGATCTCAGGAAGTTATGTGACAGAGAAAGCTTCAAAATATTCTTAATTAGATGCAAAAATTATACAATTATGCCTATACACTGGCCCTGTCTACCTATGTTTTCACAAATGTTTAAATGTTGTGGAGGTTGATTATTCAACAGAGACCTGTATAATGCATTTTGATCAGCAAGACAAAAGCAAAAAGAAAATAGAAAAAATAGTACAGTACTGTACATGGATGCACAAAAGCATTTGCAACTTGTTCACAGAAATGAGAAACTGATGAGCACCAGCAACACGGTGATTTAAAGACTGAATAAGAAGTTTTGAGAATTTGAATTCTGTGCTGAGAAATGAATTAAAGTAACTGAGAAAAACTAATATTTTTTTTAATAAACCAAGGTTTTACCTGAAAACTCAAATTAATCTTTTGCTAAAAATTGCTGTTTGATTTTTCTTTCTTTAAAACCTCTATTGGTCTTTTTTTCTATGTTCTTCCCTTCTTTGCTGCTTTTCTCTTGTCTTTTGTTTCCACTTTATTATTGTTGTCTGGAAAGAGTGACAGGAGGCGAAAAATGGAGTCTCATACTCCTCGCTCATTTTATTCCTCCGACTTGATGCTTTTATTGACTCAGCGTCAGCAGCGTGCCTCTTCACTGCGCAGCCATTAAATCCTACACACTCCATGCTTCATCCTTGTCACACGTACTGTGAAGTTTGCGTCTGTGTGTGGCTTTGATTGATCTTTATTTTATATGGCTGCTTTCAGACAGCCTGTTTTTTTTACCCTTTGTGCTGTGCTGAGCAGTTTACCGTCCCACAAACAGCCCGGAATGAAAAGCTTTGTTTGGAAAAGTGATGTATCGCCATTAGAGGGGAGGTGGAATTTATAACCTTCACTCAGGCATGTAAGCGGTGAAAACACAGGAAATCAACCCAAAGCCATCAAACATCCAATTAAGTGAATTTTGGAAACAATCTGAACAGAACTGTTACTGCAGCAAGGTAAGACGAGGATGTCACTTTCATTTACTGATGAACATCTACCTGGATCTTGTTGAGAATAAATAATTCTGTGTTTTCCTTCTATCTCTTTTAGCTAGTTACTAAGCTAAAGCTAAAGGAAATGACATGAGGAAATGCAAATGAAAGCTAGGGTCAAAGGATATGACACACTAGGGAACGGCCTCTTTAGGGCGTAGCTTAGACAGAGGCTAACAAAAGAAGTTACCAAGTGTTGATTGTTGCCATTTTGATCTGCTATCTCCTAAAGGTGGCATGAGAAATGGACCAGCTGTTGTTTGGTACTAATAAATGGAATTCATGAATTCAACTCACTGACTCTTTTTCAACCTCATACATAAGATAAGATAAGATAAGATAAGATAAGATAAGATAATTTTATTAGTCTCCCATAAGAAAAATGTATCTTGGAAGCAGGGACAAAACTGCAATACAACAATAAAAGCCCATCCAAAAGGACAGTAACCATGAATAAATACAAAAAAACAAACAAACAAACAAACAAACAAAAATACATAAAAGCACAAATGTCAGATCGGCAGTACATCCCCAATACATCCTCTACATACTACTGTTGGTCATTGTCTGGACCTCCTGTTACTCTGTCCAGGCCCCGCTAGTCTGCCATTTATCAGGTTAATGGAGAGTGGTATAAATGAATGTTTTAGACGGTTATATTTGCAC